CTCCTCCCTTTTTCCTTCTTTTCTTCTTGGTATATATTTAGTCATCTGTGTATTCCTTAATTGTGTCTGTTTGTTCAGTCGACGGAGTTTTTATTTCTTTTGTGCTTGATTAATAATTCATAAATCGATATAGAGTATATGTTTCACTGAAAAGGCAAAAGCTGGCTTCTAAAAAATAATTCGGTGATTATTCATGAGAATGTTCCTAAAAGCATGTGTTATGGCGGTAAGAGAATGATTTGTTCAGTTGTGGACAAACATTTCATTTCAAAAATTGCGGCGAAAGATGAAGTGATTCACAAAAGAACTTCATTTTTACCAGTATTGTGAATTTTCTGATCTCGCTTTCTGACTGGTCTAGAGCCGCGGGAAATAGGAGGACAATCATAAATTACGTCAGCAAATCACGCGCCCGCTTGAACCCCTCTTTTGTTTCAAATTTACCTTTGTTTTTGTAGTAAAATTTTTATTTTTTTGTGGTAAAAAACCAATTTCCTTCAGTTTTACATGGTATGTACTCTTATTTACCACAATTTTCGTCATCTAGCCGTCAAAATGTTGTGTACTCACGAAGCGTAGCCGTGGAAGTCCACAACATATTTTGACGACTCGATAAGAAAAGTCGTGGTAAATAAGAGGGCGTACCTTGGAAAACTGGAGAAAATAGGTTGACTACCCTTATCCAATCATCTTCTCGCCATCACCATGACTCATCATGCTATGAGGCACATGAGGCCCTTACACTATTTAGTGTCATCAGCAATAATAGTTACATTCGGAAAATTCGTTTGAAAGCTTCCAAATTTGCCGTATTAAGAGTCGGGAAGCAGTCACGTGACTCGTAAATGATCATGTGATTCTTAGCGATCATTACAGATTACACGGATAACACTATTTATTCTGTATGTCAAGACTTGAAATCCCAGCTGAAATAGGCCCACCTTCGAGATATCAAAATTCTAAGATCTTTCAAGTTGTTCAACTTTAACTTTTTTGATGAACTTCAACTTTTTTTTTAGTAAACACACAAGGATTTTTTTTTAAGTAAATGCTTTATTAGAATTCAAAATATGTTCCACAGTTAAATATCAAGGTTAGTTATAGATATATAGCTTGTAATATCTTAGGTGGTGTCCATCTGAAAACGATATCAAAGAATATTTTTTTAATTAGCCTGGAATGAGATATTCTTTTGTTTTAAGTATCATACAAGTGAGGCTATCAGGGACACTAGAGAAAAACGTTTGCGCATGCGTGCATTTCAGCATGTTTTCTAAGAATTTTGAAGAGTTTGAGTGAGAAAATAAAGTTTGTTTTCTCCAAGTATACAAAAAAGGTCCAGGGTATACTTTTGTAAGACCAAGATACTGTATTAAATAACACAAGATGAAAGAATTAGCCTTAAGTTTCAAGCATGGACTGGTACCAAGTTTTGGTATTTTGTGAAGTCCAATTATCAGGCATGTTTGGAAGTCAAATTTACGTACGTATGTATTGGCTAATTTGCATACGGATCCGGAGCATGCGCAGACGTTTTTCACTCGTGTCGCTTTAATCCTCATTGCTCAGGATTAGACTAAAAAAGGATATATTCATAGGTATGCACAAGAGAATATGAACTAAGTTCATTTTCTCTTGGTATCCAGGTATTCTACTGAGCAAAATTTCGTCCAAATTTTTTCAACTCACCTAGCACATTTTGCAGCTCTTCCTACATTGGTCTCTGATTCCCGCGTGAAGTCCGCAGCCAAGAGCAAGGATTGGGCATAGAGGATTGTTGTCCTTACAAACTAAATAAGATTGCAGTGCAATTAATGGCAAATTATCTCAGCGCGTAAGAGGATAAAAGCTATATAAGGAAAGGGCTAGACCACGTATATGAAGTTTTATTTGGAGCAAGTGCGGTTAAGTGATGCCAGAGACCCGCCCTGTGTCTTCACACTATTGTTTCGAGTTTTCTATGCGAATACGTGTAACTTTAGCTTTAAATACCCTCAAAACGCAGCATTGATTGAGAGAGAGAGAGAGAGAGAGAGAGAGGCGGTAAAGGACCTCTAATGATCTTCTTTGAACCTGCCTTGTTGGAACAAACTGTCGATGTTTAATATCTGTCTTTATAGATATTTGCCTTTAATTCAAAAACGTTTTTATAATGTTTATAATCTTGTCTTTTACCTGGAGGGGGAGGGGGGTTAACGATTCCACCACCACCACCACCACCACCACTGCACTTGTACATCATGTTCATCTGTTGGATGTCAACCTTACTCAGGTACCTGCGGTTGCCAAGTTTAACCTGAAAGTAGGAAGATACGGTTACATTTAGTATGTAGGATTTTTGACGCAGAGTGTACCCTCGTCTCCCGCTTGAGGGAGAATTATAGCCCTTTTTCTTGGCTGCTCTACTAGCGTATGTGCGTACCTGCCATAAACTACCTTAACAAGCTCTACGGATTTATTGAATTCATTCAAATAACTACACATTTCTCGACTTCGCTTGAATGCCTACGAACAGTTCAAGTCGAGATGAAACTTTCCATAAATACAGCAAATGTATGAACTTATCAAGACAATACAAGGAACCGCTATTGTTTTGTGATCACCCAAGCGACTACGGGAAAAGTCTATTTCAATCAGGGGCATAGCGAGGTTTCGATTCTAGAGGAGGGGGGGGGGGGGTGTCCCATTTTCCCGCCAAATCCACAGGAATCCCGCATGAATTAATAATTTTTGGTGCCAAAAGCAATTTTTTTTGGTGGACACGTGACCCTTGTTCCTCCTCCCTGCTTTAGTGACTACAACCCTTATCATTTCTACATACACATTCGCTAAAGCTTTAATTAAAATCATACTATCTGTTCTTACCCCAGATTGTTTAGCTACGATGGTTGGTCTCCTGTTTCTGCTGAATGCATAACTATCATAGTGCATGACGCTGTTGTAATCGTATGGAGTTCCCAGAGAATCAATGGTGGACCTTGAGTACTTGTTGAAGTTGAACTTCATGTCTTCAAAGAAAAATATTAGATTTGTGCAACAGGTGGATAAGATATTTGTTAGAGAAAAGAAACCTTTTTTCATTATGCATAACTTACTTGGGTTAATGTTATTCCAGTTGATGGTAACGTAATTGTCTCGATCAGGGCGTGACTGTTCGTGGTAAAAACCGAGTGCGTGACCTAGAGGGTGTAAAAATAAGAAAAAAATCATGGACGTGTGCAAATTGCGTGATCTAGGGAATGTGTGACACTCACCAATTTCATGCGCAACAATGCCCGCGTACCAGCATCCGCCAGCGAGACTGATTCTCTGAAGGCGTCCTGTTCGTCCGACCATAGAAGAGCAGCTGTGAAATAAGGGTGCACCTGTTCATACATATTATTTAAGCAAAGACTATTCCTTTGAGCTTGCCCGTCATCTGACCATGACCACACACAGTTAAAGGGACAAGAGACGGAGAATATCTCACGATCTCACGTCCACGAAATGTTTTGCTTGACGGATTTAGAGAGCGTGACAATACTTACCCTCCTCCGATGTGAAAGTGTGCGTACGCATACTCGTTCGTCCTCTCTTTGAATCTGATACAAGTATTGTCAGTCCACATTTTCATTCCGGCTCTGATGGCATTCATTGCTCGGGAGTTACGTCCTAAATATCAAAGAAAAGGCATTTATATCAATGGAACATACAAATAGAATCTTGATCAATAGAGTGGAGAGCGGGAGGAGACAAGATCGATGAAAGACAGGCGTCGAGCTACTCACGTAAGCTGCCGTCAATAGTGTAAGCCATCACTCCTCCTGGCCAACGGCCATTCTTGATGCTTCCTCTACCGATTGGTTTATCCACGTCCATTCCCATTTCAGCTGCCATTCGCTGAGCGTCAGTCAGGATCATGTCTCCCTCGTACAGGTTTGGGTCGTCAACTCCGGCGTTTTCTTTTCAAGTGATTTGTCAATGAAGAGAGTAAGTATTATGTGATTTTGAGTACGTGCTTCTAAAGAGGTGTAATTGTATAATTCAAAATAGGGACTGGTTCACGATAGGTCTATCTGAAGTCAAAGGTAAGAAAACTAGATTTACACGAACTGGCATGAAAACCCTAAGCCTTGCTAAATTGTAAGCTTTTTCATAGCTTCAAACTTCGTCGCATTTTCTTGAGTATAGTTCTTTTTTTCCACGGGTAACAGTCGAGAAGGTAGTAATTAAGTTTGGATGTAACTTAAATAAAGCACACGTATTCTCAAGTGATTTTGAATGTGAACGTGAAAAATTGTACCTTTTTTCACTTTTTCGTATTCTCTTTTCATTTTCCCCCCACTTACCATCAGGATTGTTAGCAAAGGCAACACCAAGCAACACGAACAACAAGAATAACTTCATCTTGGTTGTCTTCTGAAAAGTTCTGTAGCTAAACAAGCCGAGTTAGCTGCTTTTAAGCTGGATGAGGTACCGGCAACTGTTTAACACCTGGAAAGCTGTGAAGGCATGGCGGCTAAAGGGCACAAAGGAAAGCTAACACAGACCGAAAATGTATGTATAATATTCGAATTCGTTTATATTTTTTGTAAAACAACACCTTCGCATTCAATCAACAAAACTGTTTGTGTCATATATTATGTTATCTTTATGATTTTTTTTTCTATGAGATTATTCATTTATACAAAAATATACGCTTTATACTTTTCTGTATTTTATGAGTACAGTTAACGAAAAGTGTGTGCTGATTTGCGTAAAACAAACGCATTTCTGGATTTGAAAAAAAAATTCTATTTGACATTAACAATATATTATATACATTAACATATACTTTTTCGAAACCATCATTTTTTTCCTAATTATGATATTTGGAAATGAAAAACGAAGAAACAGTAGGTCTGTTTGTCAACTTCCATTTGACCATATGCGCTAACCTGTTTACACAAGCAATACCTCTAATCCTCAACGCGCAACTAGTGCAAAGACATCCCGACATCAATATATCGCATCACGCCTTATTTAAAGTTTGAACAGCACTATCAACCTATATTAACAGTGCGTGTCAAAATTGCAGTTGATTCCGACATCAATATGGTGTTGAATTGCTATTTGGCCGATTTTTTTTACCTATTTGGACAGCTTAATAACCTGAATTAGATTCGTCCGTCCAAAGTCATACCGACTTTCAACATCTCAGTTAAACTTCGTTTTACTTCAAGTGAAGTATCGCTGTCAAGTTTCTCAATCAACTGAGGCACTGTCGTAGTGGATAGAGGAGAAAGAGCCTCTTAGGAAGTGATATAGGCATCTATTGACTCATCTCTAGTATACAGTCCTTTGACTAAACGTTGTCGTTGATCGGATCATTCCTACTCGCCTAGACCGAAAAGGATAACGGGTAAATTACCCAGAACTTGCGTCATCCAAACTGCTCGCCAGTTTAAATCTTCGCCGTATGCTCGAGGCATGGTTTTAGCAAATTAAATGGGAACGAAAAAAGCGAGCTCAAGACGTGTTAGATAACATATGCGGCAGCTAGTAACTGTGAATTAATTATCCCCATGATCCTTTTCGGTCTAGGCGCGTAGGGTGAAGCCGATCAAACGACAGCGTTAAGTCATAGGACTGTATTCATTCAATGCTTCTGGACATTTGTTCAGATATAATGACAATGACATTCAATGTAATATTGTATTTACAATTATCTTTTTTATTCATATATATAACACGGAATTGGATATTTTCGAAAAGTCAGTAATTCTTTTGAGAGAACGATTACATAGATAGATTAGATTAGACCAATCAGGTCGTTACACGTGAATGCAAGTGAACTATCCAAGCCTTGTACTAAAGCGACGACTGAAATTTTTTACTCTTAATCGATGCTGAAGAGGGGTGAAAGAGATTATGTTGATGATGACATTTCGGGTCTTCGTGGAAAAGAAGAAAGGCCTAGATTTTTATGCATGTTTTTTACTCCTCTAAGAATTGGAACATGCTTTCAGTTTGACCCCGTTGAGCTGCGCCACGCGTTTTATTTATTTATTTTTATTTATTTATTCTTTTTGATACGAGAACCGTCTATTAGGGTTTAGATTCATTTGTGAGTATTCTACTGAGATCAAAAAAAACAAAAAAAAATTGAATCAAATAAAAAAGAACAAAACAAAACAAAAAACTGACCTCTACCCAAACTCTATCAAGATGTAAAAATGCCACTTCCTATATGCTTTAGAAGTTATTCGTAACTTCTATAAAACGAGTTCGAACGTTTTAAACTTTGTAACTATTTATTGTAATTAAGTAATAATTCGTTCAAGACTCAGAATTTTTTCTGAGACTCGGAATTTTTTCTGAATCTTTAAATTTGCAGCTGCATAAGTTTCTTGATATACTGCGAGAATCACCTCAATTTGTTGGCCTTTTGCCGCCGTTATGACCACTCTCTTTTTAACGAATTTATAACTGGTCCCCTTTCCAATGAAAATAAACGGAGATATATCAACCGTTTCGGTTTTAATCCTCATTTGGAACTACAGCAGCATAGTTGATTTTCTTGTGCAGTTGTCTTTTCTTTGGGTCGAAGATTCCCATCGCAAAGTCAACCGTAATTTGAGGAGGTTCAATTGCCATCTCTCGGAATGAACTTTTTCTCTTTTTAGAAAACATCCCAACCCAATTTCCCTCGTTGACATTTGTGCTGCTCCCAAGAATGTGCTGCATTCTTGCTTTCACTTCTCTAATGTGAAGTTCAGGCAAAAAGGTGTTGGACTTTCTCACTTGGGCACGTGTGGTTGCTAAGGCAACTGCTCTTGCCGCTGACCGAAACGTTGATGTCTTCCTTGGCGTTTCGGAGCAATTCTCTTCACATTTCTTAATTTCTAGTTTATGATTTGCATCGTTTTCAGAGTGTACTAGCTTTTCCTCTCTGCCTTGAAATAATTCTCCACCTTTTTCGCTGTATTCAAGAGCAGAAGGAGAAAAACAATCCTCAAACACCTCCGAGACGTCGGCCATGTTTACATCGGTTGGAGAGCAGGCTAAGATAGGTTGATCTGCACAATAGTTTATTCCATCAACAGGGTTTATATAATACTCAGGCGAGGAGCTATTTGTCACAACCAAATTTTTTGTCTTCTAATAAGTCGTATTCGCACTGGAACATGAGATTATATGACCGCAAACGTCAATAGCCAATCTTTTCGTTCGGTTCTTGTCCAGTTGGACTCGTTCAAGTAATTATACTGATTGACAAGAGAGATCGACGCAAAAAAAACAACAAAACAAAAAACAAAATAAAAACAACGCATTCACACATGTCCAACCATGATGATGACAGTTTGTGAATGGGCGCAAGATATGATGGTTATACCTCATCTAACCAAATCCATCTCACCCTACCCTAGCGAAAAAGAAGTGATAAAAGGTCAATTTAAATTTACGTCAGTAAATTTTTTCATCTTTTCACGGTGTATATTTTACTTTTTTTTTATCATTACTATTTCGTTAGAAACACCAACGCAGCTCACACTAGTTTTGAGCTAGTTCTTCTTCTAGTGAAAAAGAGATAAGCCATGCCACGTGAAAAAAGTGTTACGAAACTGTAGAGTCATGGAAACCCCAAACAACATGTGACTTGCCATGTGATGTGCAAGTTACGCAAGTCAATATCCTAACGAACCACAGTGACCAAAACCCTTGTCTTACCTCTCTAAGAAAAAAAACAGCCGAATATGAGAAAGCTATGAAAAAAGCAAGAAAAATGGCTAGGAAAGATGATAAAAGCACAAAACTAAAAACCCTGAAGTTGTTATGTAAGTCTGATGGTGAAAAATACGCGTG